GGGGGCGTCCTGTGTGTCTGCAGCCTGTGTCCCAGCAAACCCATAGATCCTGTTTTAATCGAATCTGACAAACCAGCTACTGGCCCTCATGCTCAACCAAGACAAGCCGCAGAACCTAGGAGAAAAGGGGGTTTAATTTAAAAGGGGAGACAGGTCAGTATCATTATCAAAACCCCACTCCAAGCAACACAACTCATTCCGGTATTTACACCCCAAATTCACAGCCCTTCACCCACCCCGAGTCAAGATTAAGAAGCCTACGTGCAGTTTCCGCATGACTCAGAATTTTCTGACCATGCTAAGATTTCTTGGTATGTGACTGATGACGCGACCACTGACATGACTTAAAGTCTCCTGGTCATGCTGACATTTTTAGATAACATTCTGGAATGTATAACCTTTTTTTTTTTTTTTTTTTTTTTTAAGTTTTCCAGAGGGCGGACAGACAATTTCAACATTTGGAAGGAAGGGAAAGTCACAACACTTAAAATGATGGTCTGAAAGTCCCAACAGTTAAAATGACAGCTTTAAATTGCTTTAAAACACAATGGTAACAATCTCACTTTGCAGAGTCCTGGCCTGTAACAGCCCGATGTGACAGGCAGCGCGGCGTGGAATGACTGCATCTCCAGAGCCACTGCCTGAATAAGTAAAAGCAAATAAGTAAAACGCGTACCCAAGTGGTACAGTCTTGGACGGATGACGTGTTACTAAATCAGGCGCTTTGCAAGTCTGTAATTATTAAGCCCCAGAGGGGAGTTGTGCCCAAAGAGCCCCTATCCCTTCCCAGGGAGTGAGGTTTAAGCCAGATGTAAGTCCTCTGGGGCAGGTCGTTCTGGGGTCAGGGCATCTCTGAAGTCCTAGCAGAATAGGAATAGGGGTAATGTTTGATATTGCCCACCAGATCCCCCTATAGGAGAGCGGGTCTTTCTATAGGAAGAGACACCCTTAATTTATCTGTTACTCAGAATCTGAGTGATCAGGTAACAGGCTTTCCCAACTTGTGGTATACCGGGGGTGCCAAAAAAATGTATATACACTTTAAGAGATGTTATCTACGTATTACTTTAGTATTACTTTGCTGTAATGAGAAGTGTCTGGACACTGATGGTTACCACTTTGAGCATCTCTTGTAATTGCAGAAGTCAAACATGACTTGAAGTATATATTGAGTATTACCATTTTTTTTTCTTTTTTTGAGTTGGAGTCTCATTCTGGCACCCAGACTGGAGTGCAGTGGCCGCTCCCGGCCACCGCAGCCTTGACCTGCTGGGCTCCGGCAATCCTTCCACCTCAGCCTTCCCAGTAGCCGGAATTACAGGCATGCACTACCACTCCCAGCTGATTTTTTTGATTTATTATAGAGATGAGGTCTCGCCAAGTTGCCCAGGCGGGTCTTGAACCCGCGGGCTCAGGCAACCCACTCACCTCAGCCTCCCAAAGGATTACAGGCTGAGCCACCGAGCCCGGCAGAGTATTACCATTTTAATACAGGTTTTTTTTTCTTTCTTAAAAGGTGTATACATTTTTTTAGGCACTTCTGTATTTGCATTGGAAAATCGGGCAATAAATTAAAATCTTGAGCTGGGTGCAGTGGCTCACAACTTGTCATCCCAGCACTTTTGAGAGGCCAAAGCGAGAGGACTGCCTGAGGCCACGAGTTCAGGACCAGCCTGGGCAACATAGCAGAGACTGGGTCTCCACAAAAGTTCAGAAATATTAGCCAGGTGTGGTGGTGCATGCCTGTAGTCCCAGCTACATTAGAGGCTGAGATGGAAGGATTGCCAGAGCCCAGGAGGTGGAGGCTGTGGTGAGCCATGATTGTGCCACCGCACTCCAGCCTGGGTGACAGAGTGAGACCTCTACTCAAAAAATAGTAGCATTTTTTAGATGTGGCCAGCTAAAGCATGTCAGCACCCAACTGTGATGCTGAAACCCGGTCCATGAAGCCCGTGGGTGAGCACAGCACGTGTGAGGCTGTGCATTGTGTTGTTGGTTAACACTCCTCGCCTGAGCCCTTCATCACCCTCAGCCTAGCGTTGGAGATTTTGTCTGAGTTAAGCAGTTTCCTCAGATGTGACTTTGGATGAAGTTGGTTAGGGATGGAGGGTGTGAAACTCCAGTGATTTGGCCTGCTGGCTTAATTTGACCCTGGAGTGCTAACCTGCTCTTCAAAATCAGCCGTCAAGGAAGGAATCCATTCTTTTCAACTTGTTTAGAAACATAGGCCAGCTGCAATGGCTCACACCTGTCATCCCAGCACTTTGGAAAGCTGAGGTAGGAGGATTGCTTGAGCCCAGGAGTTCGAGACCAGCTTGGGCAACATAGCGATCCTCGTCTCTACAAACAAAAAAATTATCCGGGTGTGGTGGCACACACCTGTAGTCCCAGATACACAAGAGGCTGAGGTAGGAGGATCACCTGAGCCCAGGAGGTTGAGGCTTCAGTATGCCATAACCCTGCCATTCCACTCTAGCCTAGCGACAGGGAGAAGATCCCCAACCTACCCCGCCCCTGACCACCACCAAAAAAAGAAACTTGGCTGATGAGGCATTCTTCTTTTATTATTTCAGCAGAGGTTAAACACAGATGGGTGACTGACATCTCGGTTTTTTGTTTTTTGTTTTTTTTTTGAGTTGGAGTCTCACTCTGTCGCCCAGACTGGAGT